TCCAAAGTTTCGTTGCGAAATGTTGTAAAATGAGGAAAATAGAGCCTTGCGAAGTTTGCAATTTTCAGTCATTTTAGATTACAAACGGGAAATTGCAGCCCCAACACCCAAATCGGATGTCAATTTCCCGATTGTAATACAAAATGACTGAAAAACGGCAAACTTCGCAAGGCTATATTATCCGCATTTTACAAGATTTTGCAACAAAACTTTGGAATATTACTAATTTTGTAATGCTCTTTCAAGCTCTGATGAAATTTTTGTCTAGATCGAAATTTTAGTTATAAGGGGAAAGGTCCATTGTTGCTAGGCAACATTTTCTTGTTATTGTGTAATGAGAATATACTTTTTAATCGCGTTAAAAATATTGTTTTTGTGTTATTACCACAAGGTTATTTAATAAAGGAAATAGAAAACATTTTTTCCTGTGTTTCTATAGAGTTATAGAAACACTTGTGCTAGTTTGGGAGAACTCGATCCCACTGATTATTTCTCGTTCTCCCAAACTAGCACGCGTGTTTATAGAAACACGGAAAATGTTTTCTATTTCTTAATATATATATATATATATATATATATATATATATATATATATATATATATATATATATATATATATATATATATATGGTGTTCAAAATGAAAAAAATTAAAAATAAAAAATTTAAAAATAAAAAATTTAAAAAATTTAATGTGCTGCTACTTAAGTTTCACGTATATATTTTTATATATATATATATATATATATATATATATAATATATATATATATATATATATATATATATATATATATATATATATATATATATATATATATAGAATTTCGCTTACCTCAAAATTCCGCAACAGTCTGTTTCATCAGTAAAGAATCATCAGGCGGTATACTGCCTGATGATTCTTTACTGATGAAACAGACTGTTGCGGAATTTTGAGGTAAGCGAAATTCTACATTTGCTCTATCTTTATGATATTGAGCACTCTTTGCGTTTCGTATACACAAACCTACTCGTATATATATATATATATATATATATATATATATATATATATATATATATATATATATATAATTCAATTTATTTTGGTTGTCTAGATATATAAAGTGCTCAATACTAAAAGTATAGCAGAGCTTATTAGATTGTCTATATCTTAAAATTAAATATCGCTACTCTGAGTTTCACGTCCTTTCTAGACGATCATCAGGCGGTTTTGTTCACGATTTTGTTATTGATTACCAGTGAACTCTAATAATACCTGGAAGGCTAACTCCTATGATGAAAGTCTATGATTCGTTGAAGCCGGCGCGCGGGAAAATCAGCTTTCAAAAGGACTAAGAAGAGTTTCGAGGAGTGAAAAAAATTCTGTCAAAAGTTTGTTTTCGAGCAAAAATTTGCAAGAAAAACACTTTTCCCACGGGAATACAACAATGACTTGGGATTTAAATCAAGTTTCCGATTAGTTCCGACTGTTTTACATCTCTCTGCAGCAAAAAGTAAGGAATTTTGCTTTTGTATTTTGAAAAAATGACGAAAGTTTGGATGTGCCGAAGGAAACTCGCCGTTCAACTCAAAAATATATACTATAAAACATTTTGACAGTCCCAAAACTTATGTTGTACTAAACCCCAGGTATTGTTATTGATCCTGAGCTTTTAGTCCTTGTTTTAGTCGCTCTTAAACATAAATAAATTGGCGTATTTCAAGTGATGTTATTTTCGTCATCGGCATCTTGTTGGCCACTATGAGCACTTTGAATATGGCAATATTTTTGTCAATTTTCAAATGCTTTTTTTTCGACCTTAAAACGTTAAATTCTTCTTGAAACTTCGCATACAGATGTATTTTGCATGGGTATAAAAAATTCCTGAGGTATGACGTTTTAGTTTTATCTTAAACTTCCAAAAACTCAGAAAAAGCAGCCTAAAACGCGCGGTTTTTCAGACCGTTCATGCTTATGGTCGTGTTTTTCGCATTTTTTTTGCTAATTCGTGATTTGTTTGCTTTGCGAATATTAAATTCATTTATCATACTACTGATATATATTAAATTTGGTAGTATAACTAATATTTTGGGGCAAGATTTTTCTGATAAAAAAATGTGCATATTTTGAAAAAAAAAAATTTAAAAAGACTGGGTCTACCTACAAAAAAAGCTTCAAGCACGGCTTCAACTTACCCCCCTGACTTAGCCTTCCAGTTATTATTAGAGTTCACTGTTGATTACGTGTTGTATCATCATCAACCGTTCGCTGACGCGAAATGTCGCCATCGAGAAAAATTCAGCGCTGGGAAATTCGAACGCGCGCGAACAAACAAGTTAACGCGTCAGCGAACGGTTGATGATGATGCAATCACGTAATCAATAACAAAATCGTGAACAAAACCGCCTGATGATCGTCTTATATATATATATATATATATATATATATATATATATATATATATATATATATATATATATATATATATATATATATATATATATATATATATATATATAGATAGATATAGATAAATAGATATAGATAGATATAGATAGATAGATAGATATAGATAGATAGATATAGATAGATAGATGGATGGATAGATAGATA